CAGAGCCTGGAGGACGGATGTGAGCAGGATGAGGGGCCAGGGGAGTCCCCGAGGGAACTCGAAGAGCACTCGGGGATGGGGTGGGGGGGTCTCTCTCTCTCTCTCGATCACAGAGACCCGGCACTGGCCGCACCACTCAGGCAACGGGATCCCCTTGTTTTGCTTTTCCCTGGGCAGAGGGCCGAGCCCCCCAGGCCCTGTTCAGGGCGGGGGGCCGGAGGAGCGGGGCCGGAGGTGTGAGGTGGAGGCAGCCGCTAGTGGGGGCCCGGGGGGCGCCGGGAGCGGGCGGCAGCGGCGACGGGGCTGACGGTGGCTGCTGGCCCGAGCATCTTCTTCCCGGAGGCTCCCCCAGAGCCGGGTCCCACCCACCCACCTTAGGCCACGCCCGTGTCGACAAGGGCCACGCCCTCCGGCGCCCCATTGGCCCTTCTTTGACTCCTTGACCACGCCCCCGATGTGTCCACGCCCCTTTCCTGTAGCTGGGAGAGGGACCCCCGGCTGCGTACAATAAGGCCCCAGGATGCTTCCTCAGCGTCCCTACCCTCACCTTTATCCAACATTTATGGAGCCCTGGCTACCTGCCAGGTTCGATTCTAAGCAAGTGCTTTGTATACCTTAGCTTAGTTTCTCCCCAGATCAACGAAATTCTTGAGGTCCTCTCGCTATCCCCATTTTACAGACTGCGAAACTGAGCCCTTCGTGTCACTTGATCAGGAAGAGAAATCCCGCTTCACAGTGCTTCCCAATTCCCTCAGCTACAAAGTTCCGCCTCAAGCTTTGATCCACGCCCTATAGAATCAACCCAGAGTAGGGAGAACTCCGGATTCAATTTATTCGGAATTTGAGAGGGAGCATGTAGCACCTAGCCTAGCACACAGTTGGCTCTTAATTCAGTGACCAGCGCTACAGATCCCCTAAGAGTCAGGTGCACTGTGTAACATGTCAGGCTGCTAACTGGAAGGTCAGCAGTTCAAATCCACCAGGAGCCTCCTGGGAGAAAGATAGCAATTTGCTCCCACAAAAATTTAAGGCATCATAAACTCAATGACGATAGCTGTGTACTGGACTGAAAAGCAGTGGGTTTTTTGTTTGTTTTGAGGACGAGTATCCCAAATCCCAAGGACCTTCAGTGGTGTAGAACATTATGTTTTGTGTTGGGCTGCTAATCAAAAGATCAGCAGTTCGAATCCACCATGTGCTGTCTCTTCTTGTAAAGATTTACAGACGGAGAAACTCAAGGAGGGGTCCCTATGAGTCAATCCACTCCATGGACAATGGGGTTTGGTTTCAAACTCAGGGTTTTGATGGGGAACAACAACAACAACAAAAAAATCAACTCTTGGTGCTTGTAAATTTTACTATCGACGTGATTAAGAAAACCTGAGATTCAGATGACAGAGTGGAAGCCCAGGAACGTGGAGTGACCCACAGCGAGCAGAGAGGAGATCCAGATGTGAAAGCAGGACAAGACTGAAGCCATCAGAAGTGGGGGGGGGGCCTTCCTTAGCAAGAATCTTCGCTGACATCTTGAGCTCTCTGATCCGTGGGTTTCCTTCTCTCTGAATTTCTGGTCCCTGAGGGTCTTTTCCTTCCTTGGTTAGCCAGAGACAAGATAAGGCACCAAGGGAGGCTGAAAGGGGGTAATTGTGGCAGCTGGGGGCCCCTCCTTCTGCTTCATCCCACTCCCTGCCCCTCCCTTGCCGTGCCCAGCTCCCAGGTCCCCAGGATGGGGGGGAGGTAGCAGATGGCCTGGGGTGGGTGGGGTGGCTGCCCATCTGTCCCCTCCCCCCTCATTGTCCCCAGAGCCAAGGGGGATGGGAAGGGGTTGTGGTCCACTGCGATCTGGATCCTCCCCCTCCATCTTCCTGGAGGGAGCTGGGGAGCTGGTTGCCATGGAGACAGGACAGTGGCAAGAGGGATGCAGGGAGACACTGGGGTCAGGCAGAGAGTCACACCTTGGACCCTGTGAGCACATATACTCGAAGTATACAGGTACACGCTCTGACATGCATGGAGGCAGCCGTGATCTCTTCTCTCTGACATAGATGTTCACAAAGAAAGGTCCTCCTGTGGACCTGTTCATGCCCAGCCTCACAGGTGCACAAACTCACACAGTCACACCCAGGCGCTCTCTGATGTAGAGACACTCATTAAAGAGAGATTCCTCAGAACTATCCCTAATGCAGCCCCCATCCTAGGGCCCCAAAACCACACCATGGGCTGTCACAACACGAATGGATACTCCTCTCATGCCCCAGGTGGTCATAGCTAATATCTGGGTATGTCCAGGTGTACATACTTGGAGCTGCAACAACCCCATACTTGGCCAGCTCCTCCCTCACCCCCGAGAAGTTAGAAACACATGAGCGTAGTTGTAGGCAATCATGAGCTATGCCTTAGAAAACATACATGTAAGTGACATGTGATGTAGAGATTCAAATGCCTTGTACACATATTGGGTTATTATATGCATTTAGTTACAGGGCTACACATAGTCTTATGTACACAATGCCCTCAGACCTCACAGGCCAATCACAGTGATACGGGGTCCCCCCCATGCAGGGAGGGCTGTAAGCCGCTCGCCGCTCGACCCCATCCCCGAGTCATGCCTGTGGCCCTGGATCCACCCCACCCAAACCCTCCCATTTGGACACACACCACACAACAGCCCGGTCGGTCACGCACTCACACTCACACACAAACACAAACCTCCTCCTAGATATTTTTAAACCCAGGCTAGTTCTGCTGCCATGGCAACCGCCCCAAACCCATCACCATAGCAACCCAACGTCAGCTTTCCAAGCATTGAATCCTGCGGGATTGCAAGGCCCCAATCACAGGCCGGTGGAAGGGGCTGCTGCACCCTCTGCCATCATCTGTGCCAGTCCAGTGCCCCCAGGCCCGAACTTACAGGGGAGGGGCCGGCTGAGGCTGGGCAAGGGCCAGAGATCCAGGGCCACCAGAGACTCAGACTAAAGAGAACCTCAAACCTTCTCTCTTCCCTCCACCCAAGTTTGTTGGCTCGAAGGTTACACGTACAGTCCTGAGTCTAAATCCTACCTCTGATATTTCCATGCTTTGTGACATGGGTGACATCCTTTCCCTCTCTGAGCTCCACTTTCCTTATTTGAAAAATGTTGTTGAGACTACTACATGCCAAGACTGTGGTACCCTAGTGGGTTAAAAAACCAGTAAACAACAATTTACTGCTGTTTAGTCCAAGCTGATTCATTCATAGCTGACCCTTTAACAGGTCTGTAGAGTCTAGAAATCATTCAAGATTGCCCATTTTTCTCCCTCAGAGCAGCTGATGGATTCAAACTGCCTGCCTTTGAGTTAGCAGCAAAACTCCTTAACCGCTGGACCACCAGTAAGATCACCCAAATCCTGACTCTTTCTAGCTATATGTGAGCACTGGGAGAACAAATAATAGTCTGAATTCATAGGGCTGTGGGGAAGATTCCCCACCCTACTTTTCTAAGAACGTATATGAATTCTAACTTATTGAAGTCTTAAAAAAACTATTTTAAGGACGTGTACTATTTTAAAATAGATTTTATTTATTGTTGAGAATATGTACAGCAGAGCCTACACTGATTCACTAATTTATCTGTTCAATGGTATTGATTATGTTTTTCAAGTTGACAGTCATTCCCGTCCTTCTCCTCTAAATGATCCCTCTCAAGCTGTTGTTGTTGTGTGCCATCGAGTTGGAGTGGACCCTCCAGCAAGTTTTCAGGAGCTTAAAAACACACAAGAGGAGGTTGTCCGTCTTTTTCCCAAGGAGCAGTGGACAGATTTGAGTTTGTGTTAACAGTGCAACTTCTTGCCTATAAGCCACTAGGTACTGTTGTTTTTGTTATGTGCCATCGAGTTGATTGAGGCTCATAGTGACCCTATGTACAACAGTTCTAAACCCTGCTCTATCCTGAACCAATCACACTGTCTCTGACACACCTACCCTCATTACCCCAGTCACTGGATCAATTCATCTCATCAATGGTTTCCCCCTCCTTCTCCGTCCTTCCACACTTCTAAGCATGATGTCCCTCTCCAAGGACTGGTCCCTCCTTGCAATGTGCTCAAAGTATGTCAGATGAGGCCTCAGAATCCTTGCCTCCAAGGAGCAGGCTGGCTTCACCCACTACATTTGTTGTTGTTGTTATGTGCCATCGAGTCGCTTGCGACTCATAGTGACCCTATGTACAACAGCTCTAAACCCTGCTCTATCCTGTGCCAATCTCATTGCCTCTGATACACCCATCCCAATTACCCCAGTCACTGAATCAGTCCACCTCCTAGAGGGCCTTCCCCTCCTGCGCTGTCCCTCCACCCTACCAAGCATGATGTCCCTCTCCAAGGACTGGTCCCTCCTTACAACATGTCCAAAGTATGTCAGATGAAGCCCCAGAATCCTTGCCTCCAAGGAGCAGCCCGGTTTAACCCTCTCCAGGATGAATCTGTTTGTTTTCTTGGCAGTCCATGGTACCCTCAATACTCTTCTCCAGCACCACATCTCAAAGGCATCAATTCTCCTTCTATCCTCCCCAGTCATTTTCCAACTCTCATAACAAGTGATCGCAAAGACTACAGCCTTAGTCTCCAGAGTGACACCATTGCTCTTCAGTACTTTGGAAA